CATAGTTTCCGAGATAATCGCGAAAAACGAAAGTGCCAAAAAAAATTAATTTAATTCATCTTGTATAAGGCCTAGGAAGTGGAAAAACGCAATCCTGAGCCGTCCATCTGCCTATACGGAACCCAAATTTCCTCAGGAATCGAATGGAATAGGTTTTAAGGCTACTGTGTGTTTCACGCAGTTGTATTTTTATACTACTGTGTGTTTCACGCAGTGGTATTTTTATACACCTGTGTGTTTCACGCAATTGAAGTTTTATACTACTGTGTGTTTCACGCAGTGGTATTCAGATACTCCTGTGAGTTCCGTAATTTTTACTGAACATTTCTCTCCGTGTACTGTAAAAGATACACTGATAGAAAAGGTGGAACGATTCAGTTGCACCAAACGAGGCTTCTTAGCTGTTACCGCGATTCGTTAATAGTTAACGAATCGTAGTAATAGTTAAAAAGTCTCGTTTTATTTGACTAAACCGTTCTATCAGTGTACTTGGACATCCGTAAAGACAAAAATTCCGTAGATTCCGAAAGAGTTCCCCCGCCAACTAGAATCCCCCAAATGCTGGAGTAATCGGTTAGTAATGAACCTTTGACAGCTTAGACTGTCTACAGTTGATGATAATGAGAATTACCCTTAGTATATCGCCTTCTCCCCCACGTGTATAACCGAGCAAATGGAGCACGAGTGTCGCATCGATCTATCGGTGAAGGAGAAAGAGCACGTGGGGGACTCTCGACCCACTGACACTCTCGAATGTTATTTCCCTGTCTCACTGCTTCAACCCCTGCGGTAGTGATTGGTATTCATAGAGCGATAGAATATATTTTGGTCAATCGAAACATTGTGAAATAGTGATTGGGAAAAATGCGTCGGATTGTGATTGATGCTGACGACTTTGGGTAGCATTTCTGCGTCATTGGAGACACTCAGCGGGGGGTAAGTCGGGCGAGGGAGTCCCTCCGAGAATGAATGAAAAGCAACGGCAGTTTTTCGTCTTTCTGGCTCGATATTCGCACTCAGCAGAAAGGAAAATTCGGGGTGAAGGGATAGAATGAATACCTTTGACTCAAAAGTCAATTCATCAGTTAAGCTAGGTCTGGGGTCATTGCAGAGGGGGCGGAGACGTGTCGTAAGAATTCTTAACCGATTGTTTTCTCCATTGAGCCATTTGGAATGACCTGCCCCCCGACAAAGCGACTTTAACTGTCATTAGAAAGAAATTTACCTGCTTCATGCGCAGATAATTACACTGAAAGTAGAATTGAATAATTAGCATATCTTCTTATTGTTAACTCTCCCCTCCTCAATTCCGTGTTTTTCAACAACTAACTACGAACTACGAAGGCAACACAAGTGAGACATCTACTTGTAACCACGAATATAACGACTACGGAATTAGATATTGAAAAATTACTAGATCATAAAAGTTTTTACAGCCACAAAAATTAAGACTTTCGAAGATAATAGTCCACGTGTAGTGATTTTCAGCCTTGGCGTTTTAAATATAGCACTCATTTGAGCAGGAAGAATATATATATTTTTTTTATTTATGGGAAGTATATATTTGATGATCGAAAATTCTGAAAATTTCAAACCGAAAAACTGGCTTTCTTTTGTTAAGACCGACAGATTTTGTTTAGATGAAAAATGAGGCGTCTTTATGTAACTTGATTGAAAAAAAAATTTTTAGTCACGTATAGTTTTTTATTACTGCATGGAAAAGTCTTTAATACACTCCGCGTGGATTTTATCGATTGAAAATGGTACGTAACATGCTGGTACCCGCTTAGCACCTATCATTGACCCTCTGCAACACCAGTACAACAATGAGAAAGTGAAATGAATGCGAAAAATATGTAGAAAAAGACTCCGAAATAATAATAATTTCCTCCTTTTTTTTTTTCAATATTGAGGCCATGAAAAACCAATAAATTCGGTAGCTTTTGTAAAGACATCAGTTCAGTTATCGAGCGACACGTGAAATGATAAAAATACGTGTAAAAATGATTTCTGTTTTTTTAACCTGACGGAAAGCGAAATACAAGCAAAATCGAA